AATTTTAATGGCCGACTGCCGATATTATATCATGTTTATTAATCAATTTATCAGATCATCACATGATAATTATTAGATTAGTGACCGCATGACCTTTATGATTGTAACACAATCAACAAACTTAAAAAACAACATTTCCTTTTAAATTCTTTTAAATTAAAAAAATTTAAAACTTTTTTTCGTTATTTTTAAAAAAAACAATGTCTCAGCTTCCTGATGATTGCTTGAACGAGATTTTTGAACACTTAGAAGATGACAAATTTACTTTAAATTCATGCATATTAGTTAATCGTTATTGGTGTGATGCATCTGTGAGAATTTATTGGAGGAATGTTCAGAATTATAGTACTTCGAATTTTAGTACTTTAATTGCTTGCCTTCCAAAAGAATCAAAAGAAATTTTATATAATAATGGAATTGTTATTTCAACCCCAACTTTAAAATCTCCCATTTTCAATTATGCATCATTTTGTAAAATTCTATCAGTTAATCAAGTTTATAACAAAATTGATAAACTTCTTAAAAATCAACAAAATATTTCACCACAAAATATTAAAAATTATAAACTTATAGTAGCGCAAGAAATATTTCAAATGTTCATGAAAAAAATCTCTTCTTTAAAAAGTTTAACTTTTTATCAATTTCCAAATATGACTTTTAACTTTTATCCTGGAGCAAAAGATTGTTTTAAAAAACTCACAATATTATGTTGTAGTTCAGCGATTCCAACAGAATTATTTTATCAATTATCTCAAACATGTTATAATATACAATCACTTAATATAGAATTTGATGCAATTATTTCTAATGGAATAGAAGATTTAATTTCTGTTCAAAGAAATTTGAAACTATTTGATATGACACTTTGTCGTGATCTTACATTTGGTGGACCGACAAGTATAATTTTATCATCATTAATGTCAAAAATTCCTAATACTTTAATTAAATTAAATGTTTATGGAAGAGATAATTATTTTTTATTATCATCTATCGCAAATTTCTCAAATTTACAAGAACTTAATTTATCATTTGATCATGATGAATATTTTATGAAGTTAGAATATGCCATTTTTCCACAATTAAAAGTTTTAATAATTCCAAAAGAATATCCAAGAAATGAGTCATTAATAAAATTCTTAGAAATTAATGGGAAAAATTTAAAAGAAATTTATATAAGTGAGGTTACAGGATATAATGATAATTCATTAAATTTAGCTATTGCTAAGTTTTGTCCAAATCTTAAAAAACTTTCTGTTGGAATTGAATGTAAAGAATTGGAAACATTAAAAATAATTTTTAATAATTGTAAAAATTTAGAAAGTATTAAAATTTGGTGTGGATGGAAATTCTTGAGCGAAAAAGAAGCGTTGGAAACATTTGCGAAATATTCACAAAATATTCATGAATTGATATTATATCATCAATTTAAAGAACGATTCGAATTACTTCCAGAAGAATTAGAATCTTTTTTTATAAAATGGATAGATCTTAAACCACAAAAATCATTTTCATTAGTAGTTGTTAATTACGATGCAAATAGTTTAAATACAAATGATGAAAATATTGAAATAATTAACAAATATATTAAATTAGGCGTTATTAAGAAATTTAAAGTTACAGATTTCAAGGATAAAGAATATAATATATTTTAGTTATTGGGTAGGTGGTTGAAATATTACTGAACTTCGAAGTTTCCTAATTTAGATTTTGATCAATAAATTGATTATTTTCGAATAATTAATCTATGTCCAGTACCTAATAATTATGTTACTTTTATGTAGACACTCATGATCATGCTTTTATGCATCATGGTATTGTGAGAATAAATAAACTCATTAATAAATTATTTTAAACTATATTTTTTTCTCTGTCTCTTTTCTTATACTTATCGTTATATATTCAAATAAAATGTCTCAAACGAAACAAAAAATTTAAAAAGTAAAAGAAATAAAGTACTACATGCCTTTAATTCATTTTATTTTATTTTGCGTTTTTTGGCCCTTTTAACATTATCTATATTTTATATTAGAATAACTTGAAAATGACTACTTTTATATGAAAATTGTAAAAAGTTAAAATACAGTCAATGCAACAAATACTTGGATGGGTTTGCTAGAAAAGTTTCGAAATGAACAATTATTACACTTATTTTACTAATTAGTAGAATAAAATTGTTCCGATTATTCTGTCAACTCTGTTAAAGCTTTTTTTACAGCTATTAACCTCGCAAATATTGATTTGTATAATGACATTTATTTTAACGGTATAAGATAAATAGCAGATGGAAAGATAAAATATCTTTATTACCCATTCTGCGCTATACACATTGCCAAACCGCCTTTGCTTATATGTGTGTTTAATAATTCTGCGCTTTCTATATATAAATATGATACTATTTATGAAAGAGATGACGGGACAATTAAAGATGTAATTATGATTCCATACATTTTGGCTAATTATAGTGTTAATAATGTATAGTACGGCATGATTTTCACAAAAATAAAAGAGATATGCAAAATGATCCTAAAAAAAAATTTGTAATTCTGGCCAGAATTAAAGCATGATTAATTATAATAGATAATTTTAAAAAAACGAGATGTAAATATTATCAAAATTTATCGTATAAAATAATCATATCACATTATTGATTTGCAAAAAAAAATATATTTAGACATTTAATTAATAAATAATTATTGATATAATTGATATTTTAACGGTTGTTGATTTTTTTCAATAATATTTAATAGTTATTCGGCACGAAGGGTAAATCAAGTTTGATTGGTTGATCCGGGTTCCGCAGGAGCCCGAGATCAACTGATCAAACTTGATTCCCAATATAACAAGCTACTTTTAGTTATTCGGTTCGAAGTGCCGAATAAGTGATTTATCCGGTATCCCGTGATTTGATATTGCCTGATACACGAATTTTTGCCTGATACACGATTTTTTTTGCCTGATACACGAATTTTTCCTGATACACGATTTATTATAACCATTTTTAATTATAAAAAATCACGTGATACCGGATAAATATAATTATCAAAAATTTGAAGAACAGTAAAATTTTACTTTATAAAATTACAAAATTCCTAAAATTTATATTAAACCTTATATATCTTCCAATTCTTCTATAAATTTTAATTTACTTTCAATGAACAAATCTTCATATTTTTGAATTTCAATATTATATAACTCGAATTCTTTCACTTCTTTCAATAAAGCCAATAATTCTTTATTACAATAGTTTTTATTTTTATTAACTAATTCACTGTTAATTGCATTAATAATAGTTAATAATAGCAAAATATTTGATTTTTTCTTTCATAATATGTTCTTTATATAGGATAAAATGATATTTTGAGCTTCCTTATTATTACCTGCCCCCGTACAATCCGATATTAAGAAAAAAAATCTGTAAAGGTAGTAAAAAAAATTATGAATCTGTCTAGTGGTTAGGAGAATCTATTTAGACGATATTTACTACAAGTATTTTTTTAAAAAAATACAATACTTTACTATGGTTGAAAAAAATTCGGCGATGTTTAGATTACCCTCCTTGCATAAATAATTGAATTGTGTAACAAAAACGCGTGATGTGTCTGCACCTGATCTAAATAGATGGTTAATAAATTTTGATTGGAAGATGTAAAAATAATTGTAAATGTGTTTTAATACGATGTAATCGATGTATGTATGTTTTAAATAAATTATAATGCAAAATCTTTATAATGCTAATGAAAAAAAAAAGTTTATTTTCTTTTTAATCATCATTTTCGGCCATTCCTAGTATCCTCTTGAGATGATGCAATCAGACGCAGCAGATCGCATTGCTAAAGTTATCCTTTTATTTTTCCTTTAAATACCTTTTCTTACTGGTAGTTCTTATAGACTAAATTTTTTTTAAAAAAATATTTTTTTATTCTTTCAGTTTTTTTTTAACCCGAAAAATTTTTTTTATTTCTTATTTCAATTTTTTTTGTCTAATACTAAAAAATTTTTTTTTAATTCTTTTTTATTTTCAGTTTTTTATTTCAATACTAAAAAATAAACTTTTCAATTAATTATTATTATTTTTTTTTTTGCTTCAAACCAAAAATTAAATTTTTCTTTAATCAATTTTTTTTTTCGGGTTTTTTAGTTCCAAAATAAATTTTTTTTAATCAATTATTTTTTTTTATTTTTGGTTTTTAGTTTAATAATCAAATACCAAAAAAATTTTTTTTTTAAATCATTTTTTTTATTTTGGATTGAGTTCAATAATTGGTTTTTTTTTATTTTTTTTTACTTTTCACTTATTGTTGAATTAGATTTTTATTATACATTTTGTTGAATAATGCCTTTTCAGTTTTTTGCTATTATTTTTTTTTATTGTTCATTCATTATTGTAATTTTTTTTAATTATAAATTATAAATCAGGTATGTTTCGTATATTACGTATCAATTTTTCTTATAAATATAATGATAAGCTTTTGTTAATGCTGCAATCAAATGACCTTTTCAGGAAATATTGTTAAGGTGCCTAAACGAACATAAAAAGTTTATATAAAGTAAGATAAGCCTAAAGGAAAAGGCCATAGGTATAAATTTTTTAGCTACAGCTAGTTATTTTTAAATAAGTCAGAATCAAAATTGGACATTGACTTTTCGAAATTGACATAAAATTTGCTTTTTATAAGGTTATTGTCCGAAGCGTAAGCGTAGGACACTCTCCAAACCATGCGTGTGTTGTCTGTCTGCACACGTGTATGACCAATAAAATCTTAGGATCAGGTGTAACCTTAGATTTGTTTATGTGTATAACACTTGTTGTTTATGTCCCCTGATTTAAAATATCTTTTTAAATACCAATACGCCTCAACAAACCAGTGACGAAAGTAGCGGCAGTTTATTATTTTATAGCTTTGTTCCTAATAAAATGGGCAGGAGCACATACACAATGTATGATAGAAACATTACTTTTTCGTCAAAGAACTGCTGCGGTACAATATGAACAAATCAAAATGCAGAACGCAGAAATTTTGGAAAATTTCGAGGAGTTGAAAAAAAATATGGCAGAAACTAGTCTGACAAACGGTTTAGTGATACAAGACTTAGAAAATACAATCAGGAATTTAGAAGCAGACGTCACAGCAAAAGAACGAATAATATTGGAGAAAAGTGAGGCTAACAATATGTTATGGGAAAAAATAAAAGCGCTAGAAACAAAAGAGGAAAATTTAACGAGTCAAGCGACGAATATGGAAATAGATAACAAGACGCAGAAAAAGAAAAAACGCCCAACAAAAAGAGAAAAAAGGCGCGATCAATTGCTAAAACTGGAACGATCACCGACATGGTGATCGACATAGGAGATAAAGATAAAGATCATTTGGAAAAACATTTTGCCGAAAAGTCACGTGATATTACGTTTTACGACATACCTGCGTATTGGAGTGATGACGAGATTTTAGGATTATTAAACGCAAATGTGGGAGTAGTTGAATTTATTAGTTTTAAACGTTGTCATAAGTATAAGACAGTTAGGACGACGCTGCGCTTCAGCAAAGCTTACGAAAAGATATACAAAGAGGGCGGCGTGAACGTGTCATTAACAAGAAACAACGACAGAACATATTACATCAGGATGTTTGATTCACATTTACTATATAGAAAATTTAAGGAAAAGTTCCGTTGGCAAGCGATTAAAAGACTAGAAGACGACGTGCAGAACGATGATATATTGGTTATAAAAGATATGGTGAAAGCTTTTCACGCTTTCTTTGGAAAAATTATTAGAGTAAAAGGAAACGATTTATTATTTTATATTTTAATAAGGTAACAGATTTAATGTCGGCAATTAATAAATCGATAGAGAAGTTCAATACAGAAAGTGGATTATGGATCAAGAAAGAAAATGATTACATCAACGAAAAAGGTGAATTACAAGAAGTCGATAGAAGATATACCTACAAGAAAAACGTCTCAAGATCAAATGGTTTTCGTGGAGAGTGGGATCAACAAGGTTTTTCACATGTATATCCCGCTCGTTCTAGAAGACACAATCAAACGTATTAATATAAATGAGGTAGCGAAGATGTGGATAAAAAACTCCGAAATTGAAAAAAAATAGTAAAAATATAAAAATATTAAAAATAGATAAATTTAAAAGAAAAGGTAACGTATGAGACAAGTAGTGGTGATAAATTTTTTTTTTTTTTATATAGATTTTTTTTAGCATCATAATAGTTTAGCAATAATATTTTGGCCGTTGTTAGTAAACGACGCAACAATGTAACTAGTCGTTTTTAAATAGCAATAGCCGTTACAAAGTATAATAGTTTAGTCTAATACATAGTTATAGTGATTTAGTGTTGAATTTCTTTGGTTACGCTTATCCTCGCCTTGGTTAGATAATCCAATGGCTTTGGTATGGAGAGGCTCATTGTCAGTAGACTTTGAGTTTCAATGTATAAATGTTACAATTTATTATGTATTATGATGCGTTATATTTACTAATAAAATGACTAAAATACGTTTACCAAAAAAAAAATGGGGATCTTACGGAAAAGAAGTAACTATATATCAACCTCGATATAATTTTTAATCTAAAAGAATTCAACATGATTTATGATTTAAATTTTTTTTAAATTCGCANAAAAAAAAAAAAAAAAATATCTTTTTAAAAAAATTTTTACGCCATTTAATTTATAGTTTAATTTTTATGAGCATGTGATTTATGACACTTCGGACGCATCAACGGTTACCGTTTCCTAGTATATACTATACTTTAAAATACACTTATTACTTAATTGGTTTTAACCAAAAATATCTACTTTAAAGAGATAATATTATAATATTTAATAACGAAATAATATTAATAGAAAATAGTTAAAAAATTCCTGAAAATGTAAAATACGATGGAAAAGATTAAGATGGGGATCTTACGGAAAAGAAGTAACTATATATCAACCTCGATATAATTTTTAATCTAAAAGAATTCAACATGATTTATGATTTAAATTTTTTTTAAATTCGCAATCATTAATTCCAGATGATGCTGATGATGTTGATTTTAATAAATAATAATCAAACATAGTACTTAACTTCCGAGGAGTTATCGCCGACCATGTGGTAACAAAATTTTTTTTTAAAAAAAAATGGATTACTCGTTGCGTTTCATTATCTGAGGTATTCTGTTCGTTTTCCTATTGGAAGCAGTGAGATAGCAAACTGAGTTAACAGGTAGGTCAGCAGGTAGGTTTGCGTCCCTGGTTAGCAAATACTAGATTACCTTTTGTGCGTGCGAGTGAGCGAGCGAATGAGCGGATAATAACGGCCATTTAAAATTAAAAAAAAAAGATTTCTCTATAATAAGCTGGAAAATGGAAATATTAACGGTGGATACACTTTGGGCGTAAAAGCATTTGTCAAAATGTAATTAAATAAACAATTCTTATTTATTAGTTACAATCATGCATATAATGAAATTCGTATACATTTTTTTATATGGCCTGATTAGATAGGCTAATAAATCATATAAAATCTGAAAATTATATCCTGCCATTATTTAACATGAATTTGCTATAAAATAATTTTAAAAGATTTCAAATTTTACCAAATTTTTAGAATCCTTACACGTTTTGTATTTGTTTAAAATATTAATAATTTATTTAGACAATAAAAATAAATAAATAAATATATAATTTAGATAACTGATCAATAAAATTTAAAACCCTATTTAACGTAATTCTCACTAACTATAAAAAAAAAATTTCCCTTCTATTAGTGAAGTGAAACAAAAAAAAATACTCTATTTCAAAATATTTAACATTACTGTTTAAAAAAAACAACGTTAAACAGAGTTTTAAATTGTAATGATTTAATAAAAAAAAACAGTTTTCAAAAAAAAGTAATATCTATATATACTAATGATACAAATTATTTACATTAGTATTTGTAATATTTGTAACTAACAACTAAAATTAGTTTATGATCTTTGTTCAAAACCTTTTCTGTGCTTATTAAATTCGATATTTTGAACCTAAAAAATAACAATACAGTATATTGAATATGAATAATAATAAGCAATATTAATTATTAATCGTATTAATATTCAATTGAGACACATCAATATGTAAAGATTCTATTTAATAAGTAAAAATTTATTAGTATCTTTAAAACTAATTTACGTTTTAAATAATGAAATTATTAAACGGTACCTGAAAATTCCTTGCTAATTATATTATCATTTTGATCATAATAACCGTCGGAATTTTTTGGTTCTGGAAGTTTATCAGGATTAAGTAGTTTACTTGTGTAAGTAGCTTCTGAATGTGTATTATATGATATTCCTAAATTATTTGAAGTTATATCGCTATTTGGTGAATTATTGTTGATTTCATCTGCTTCCTTAATTTGTGCTTGTAATTCTATTGTTTGCTTATCATTTGGTTCATATTGCCATCTAAGTAAAATTTTGTATATGTCTTCTGCTATTGGTCGGTTTAACGGATTGGAATCTAAGCATCTTTTAATTAAGTGCACAATTAATTGTGGTACTTTAATGTTAAACATTGGTCTAAGTCCTTTACAAATTTTGATTCTTAAAATAATATCATGGCTTAAATCATGATATGGTGGCAATCCAGAAATTACTTCATACATTATTATGCCAAAACTATAAATATCAGCAGCCTTGGAATAATTTTCTCCTCTTAAAATTTCAGGAGCTACATAAGGTAAAACACCATATGTCTCATTTTTCGTATTTTCTGATGTATAAAAATTTGCAGGCTTACATAATCCCATATCAGTTATGGCCGTTTTATTTTTAAACTTTAATATATTTCCAATATGTAAATCTTGATGAATTAATCCCTTTTCATGAATACATTTAAGTCCAATAATAGTATAATGTAAATATTTAAACATTTCAATCCAATTAAGCCTATTATATCCTTTATCTAAATAATTTCGTAAACTTCCATCTTCTGCATATTCTAGGACAATTATATAATTTTTCGTTTTTGGATCCTGAGTTATTCCATAGAATCTGACAATTGCATTATTATCCATTTTCACTTTATTATGCTGCATGATCTATGATGTAAATACAAAATATATTAATAAAACCAATAATCTAGGTATTATGACCAAAAATAATAAATAAATTAATCAAATTATACCTCATTCATAAATCCTAATGTAACATTTTTTGAATTGTCTAAACTTTTCAGAGCTACAAATATATCTTTATTATATCTTTTCCAATTTTGGTTACTATCATCATCCCAATCAGTTAGATAACCACCAATCCAATTTGCTCTATACACTTTGCCAAACCCACCTTTTGCAATATATATAATATCATAAAAACTATCATAAGGTATCCATTCTAAAGCATTTGTAAGTAGTTCAATTTTATTATGTATTGATAGCTGACTGTCTTGAATAAATATATCAATATTATCATTACCACTAGTCCAATTTTCAAAATTTTGTTGAAAATGCATTGCATAACATGTATAATTACATTTTTCACATATAGTATTATTCAAAACTATCATATAACTTTTTGTTTCTGGATCTTGAGTTATTCCAAAAGGTGTATTGACCTACAAATACAAATATATTAGTAGAAATTAAAAGCTTCAAAATTTTATTAGTATTTAATTTATTATATATACCTTATCCATAATAAATTTTATTCTAATATTTTTTAAATTACTTAAACTTTTCAAGATTACACCTTTACTTCCATATCTTTTCCAATTTTTATTTTCATTATCCCAATACTCTAATGTTCCATCAATCCAATTTGCTTTATGCACTTTGCCAAACTTATTTATTGTAATATCACACAGTCTATCATAAGGTATCCATTCTAATGCATTTGATATTTCGCTATCTTTATGAGCTGATAACTGAGTATCTTGAATAAATTTATCAATATCATTATTACCACTAGTCCAATCTATGAATTTATGTTGAAAGTGTATTGTGTTACATATACTATTACACTCTTTACATTTATTATTCAAAACCATCATATAATTTTTTGATTCTGGATCTTGAGTTATTCCATAAAATTCATATTCTATTTTAATCTACAAAATGTATTAAATAATACTTAATAAAAATTATAATATTTATATTTTACTAAATAAGTTTACCATACCTTGTTTGTAAATTCTATTGTAATATTTTCTGAATTATTTAAACTCTTTAAATTCACAAATATATAACGACCTTCTCTTTCCCAATCTTGATTTTTACTATTCCAATTAGTTATATATCCATCAATCCAATTTGCTCTATACACTTTGCTAAATTCATCATCTGCAATATATTTAATATTATATAATCTATCATAAGGTATCCATTCTAACACTTCTTTTACATCTTTATGAGATGATAGTTGAGTATTTTGAATAAGTTTATCAACATCATTACTACCACTAGTCCAATCTATGAATTTATACTGAAAGTATATTGTATTACATATACTATTACACTTTTTACAATTATAATTCAAAACCATAATGTAATCTTTTGTTTCTGGATCTTGAGTTATTTCAAAAGGTATATTGATCTACAAGTACAAATATATTAGTAAAATTAAAAACTTCAAAATCTTATTGGTATTTAATTTATTATACCTCATTTGTAAATTTTATTGTAATATTTTTTGAATTACATAGACTTTTCAGAATTACATCTCCACTTTCACATCTCATCCAATTTTGATTTGTATTATTCAATTTGTATATTTCTCCATCAATCCAATTTGCTTTATATACTTTACTAAACTTATTTTTTGAAATATCATTCAATCTATCATAAGGCATCTGTTCTAATGCATGTTCTTCCAAGTTATAAGTATGTTCTGATAACTCAGTATCTTGAATAAATTTATCAATATCATCATTATCACTAGCCCAATTTTCAAAATTTTGTTGAAAATGTATTGAATTGCATAGTGCATTACACTTTTTACATTTATTATTCAAAACCATCATATAATTTTTTGTTTCTGGATCTCGAGTTATTCCATAAAATTCATATTCTATTTTAATCTACAAAATGTATTAAATAATACTTAGTAAATTAAAATATTTAAAAATTTTGCTATATAAGTTTACCATACCTTATTCATAAATTTTATTGTCATATTTTTTGAATTATTTAAACTCTTCAAATTCACAAACATATTACAACCTTCTCTTTTCCAATTTTGATATTTATAATCCCAACCACTTATATTTCCATCAATCCAATTTGATCTATACATTTTGCAAAATTCAACATCTGCAATATATTCAATATTATATAGTCTATCATAAGGTATCCATTCTAACATTTCTTTTAAATCTTTATGAGCTGATAACTGAGTATTTTGAATAAATTTATCAATATCATTATTACCACTAGTCCAATCTATGAATTTATGTTGAAAGTATATTGCATTACACATTTTACTATCATTACACTTTTCACATTTATTATTCAAAATCATTAAATAACTTTTCGTTTCTGGATCTTGAGTTATTCCATAAATTTCATATTTTATTTTAATCTATAAATGCAATAATACTTAGTAGAATTAAAATATTCAAATTTTGCTAAATAAATTTATCATACCTTGTTTGTAAATTCTATTGTAATATTTTCTGAATTATTTAAACTCTTTAAATTCACAAACATATTATGACCTTTTCTTTTCCAATCTTGATTTTTACTATTCCAATTAGTTATATATCCATCAATCCAATTTGCTCTATACACTTTGCCAACTTCATCACCTGCAATACTATATTTAATATTATATAATCTATCATAAGGTATCCATTCTAATACTTCTTTTAAATCATTATGAGATAATAACTGAGTATTTTGAATAAATTTATCAATATCATCATTACCACTAGCCCAATTTATGAATTTATGTTGAAAGTATATTGTTTTACATATACTATTATTACACTCTTTACATTTATTATTGAAAACCATTACATATTTTTTTGTTTCTGGATCTTGAGTTATTCCATAAATTTCATATTTTATTTTAATCTACAAAATGTATTAAATACTTAATAAAAATTATAATATTTAAAATTTTACTAAATAAGTTTATCATACCTTGTTTGTAAATTCTATTGTAATATTTTCTGAATTATTTAAACTCTTTAAATTCACAAACATATTATGACCTTCTCTTTTCCAATCTTGATATTCAATATTCCGATAACTAAAAATATTATATTCCCGATCATCTATATCACTTATTATATATCCATCAATCCAATTTGCTCTATACACTTTGCCAAATTCATCTTCTGCAATATATTTAATATTATATAATCTATCATAAGGTATCCATTCTAACACTTCTTTTAAATCTTTATGAGATGATATCTGAATATCTTGAATAAATTCATCAATATCATCATTACCACTGGTCCAATTTTCAAAATTTTGTTGAAAATATATTGAATTGCATATTTTATTACACTTTTTACATTTTTCGCATTCATTTTTCAAAACTATCATATAATTATCTGTTTCTGGATCTTGAGTTATTCCAAAAGGTATATTGACCTATAAATACAAATATATTAGTAGAAATTAAAAAATTTCAAAATTTTATTGGTATTAAATTTATTATACCTCATTTGTAAATTTTGTTCTAATATTTTTTAAATTACTTGAACTTTTTAGAATTACATCCTTACTTCTATATCTTATCCAATTGTTATTTTTATTATCCCAATATTTTATTTCTCCATCGATCCAATTTGCTTTATACACTTTACCAAACTTATTTTTTGCAAAATCATCCAGTCTATCATAAGGTATCCATTCTAATGCATTTGATATTTCACTATCTTTATGAGCTGATAACTGAGTATCTTGAATAAATTTATCAATATCATTATTACCACTAGTCCAATCTATAAATTTATGTTGAAAATGAATTGCATTACATATTTCATTACACGTTTTACATTTATAATTCAAAGCTATCATATAATTTTTTGTTTCTGGATCCTGAGTTATTCCAAGAGGTATACTGATCTACAAATACAAATATATTAGTAAAAATTAAAAACAATAAAATTATATTGTATAATATATTTATTATACCTTATTTATGAATCCTGATATAAAATTATTTGAAGTACTTAAACTTTTCAGAACAATAAATGCATTATGACCTCCTCTTTCCCAATTTTTATTTTTATCATCCCAATAACATATATTTCCATCAATCCAATTTGCTCTATACATTTCACCAAGTTCATCTTTTGCAATATACTTAATATCATATAATCTATCATAAGGTATCCATTCCAATGCTTCTTCTATATTATCATGAGCTAATAACTGAGTATTTTGAATAAATTTATCAATATTATCATTACTACTAGTCCAATTTTTGAAATTTCGCTGAAAATGTATTGCGTAACATGTATTATTACATTTTTTACATCTCTCGACATGTGATAACGTAGTTATCTTCTTAATACTTTTAATAAAAGAATCCATCGACTTTTTTTAAGTTATTACTCATGAAT